ATCTATCTATCTATCTATCTATCTATCTATCTATCTATCTATCTATCTATCTATCCCTTCCAGCTATTTTTCTCTGTCCTTGTGCGCTATTCTATTATTCCCACAGATCCTCAACTTCTTTTTCAACTAATTCTTTTTACCTCAGTCATGATAGGTAAGTGGATATGTGAGTTGGCATGCACGAACATGTATGTGTTTGGGTACGTATTTGTTGAAATCGGTGCAAATATTGAGTAATTGCCCATTTAATTTTAAGAAAAGGAAAAAAATAGAAAAGAAAAAAAGATTTGAAAAACGTGAATCTCTTAACCCTTTTGTTCTTCTACGACTACCATGTTCCTTGACTTTTCCTCGTTTCACCCCGTCTGGTCTCAGGAGAATGTAGATCGTACCTGGACCTGAAGCCTCTTGTATATAACGTATCTTATCTCTGTGAATACGGAGCGGACTCCTTCCTGGGTTCAAGGGCCCTCGTTCTGTCCGTCTAACCGGATCTCTTCTCTTGAGGCTCCACACAGAGACTTAACATGTCGCTACCTCAGAATTACAAAGTTCTATCTGACTGCTCAGTACGTTGTACCTAGTTTCGAGAAGACTGACTTTCAAAAATTTGAGCTTCACAGCATATCAAGCTTTTTCGAACACAGTTCTTTGAATAGCGTGAGAACAACTGCAAATAATCTTACGATTTTAATAGAGCAGATAGACCATTTGATTTCCGACCTCATGGCCTTAGTAACTCAAAATGGCTGAAAATGTCAGATAGAACTTTGTATGTAATTCTGAGGTAACGACGTGTGTCCTTTGTTGACCGTACCAGACACTGGTGCTATAAGTTCTTCTCACGCACGTGTCTGGCTACGGGTGGTGGGCCGGTGGTTGGCGGGTACTCTGGTGTGCCTTGCTCCTTCTTTCCTGTAAAAGGGCTGTCGTCCGTAGCTCTCCTTTCTTTTTACTTATTTATTTATCTATTTATATGTCTATTTTTTTTTTTTTTTTTATTTGTTTATTTATTCAGCTGTTTATTTTTTATTTTATACTCTCTAGTAACTCCTCAAATCTTCGCCACTTATATAAATGAGTGTTGAAAGTTCAGTAAAACTTTTTTTTTTTTTAAACAAAGGAAAAAAAACAAAAAACAAGGTGACTGGCTCAGACATTCAGACAGGCTTAGATCTTAAAACCAAACAATTCTTTAAATTAAATTTGTGAGCCATGACTAAGAAATGGGGAACCAAAGAATCACAAATACATGCCCCCCCCCCTCCCCCTTTCTCTCTCTCT